GCTGCTGACCGTGGCCGGGGTGCTGGGCGGCGTGGCGCTGGGCGCGGCCGTGCGGCGCCTGGAGCTGGCCCGGCCGCAGGTGGCCTACCTGGCCTTCCCCGGCGAGATGCTGCTCCGCATGCTCAAGATGATCATCCTGCCCCTGGTGGTGTGCAGCCTCGTGTCCGGCGCCGCCAGCCTGGACACCCGGGCGCTGGGCAAGCTGGGTGGCATCGCCATCACCTACTTCTTGGGCACCACCCTGCTGGCCTCGGGGCTGGCCGTGGCCCTGGCCTTCATCATCCGCCCCGGGGCGGGCGCCGCATCCCTCAACACCAACGCCCTGGGGCTGGAGGACACCGTGGCCACCAGCAAGGAGACTGTGGACTCCTTCCTGGACCTCACCAGGTGAGCGCAAATGCATGGGAAAGGGGTCGTGGGTGAGCCATGTGGCTGCCCCGGGTCCGAACAGAAAGGGGGCCCAAAAATGGTGAAAATAATGATGGTTATTATCATTGTGATCTCTAGCAAAGGGGGGCATAGGCACTTCACTGAAAACTCAATTCCCCTTATATACAGAGATGATGATAAGCAGACAAAATGCAGGCAGGAAGATGGCAGAATGATTGCAGTATAAAAGCAAAGTGATCCGAAAATTCACCCAGGGCCACCAGGAGTCTAGGTATGGTGCTGACAGGGTGCTTCCCCACCCTGTGGCCTACACTGCAGGGCTCTGGTGACACCCGTGGACATGTTGCATCAGCCTTGTGGTCCAGACTCCTGCCTCAGGCTCCTGCCTCAGGCAGCATCAGATGCTTCAGAGGAAGGTGCCAGGCTCCTGAGACAGCCAGGAGAAGGTATTTTTCCTCTTTCCCATGAATTGGAGGCTGACTGATGCTTGGCATCTCAGCCTTGCTGCAGTAGCTGTTGGGTTTGGGGTTTCCTTTGTTTTTAGTCTTGACTCTTGTGCCTCAACTCATCATGCAGCTTAATGTCCAGTCCCGCGGGGATCCTGCTGAACTCAGGGTCTCAGAAAGAGGGCTGGATCTCAAGCAAGGAGTACTGCAGCACAAATGTTTGTGGCGTTTTAAATGTGACATCTGTCTGAGTCGGCAAAGGTGCCTTGCATTATGAATGGGTGAACAGAAGCTCCCGCTCCACCTTTCCCCCACCATTCATTGTTCTGGGCGCTGTTCGCCTTTCTCCTCTCATTATGCTCATCCCCTGTGAACAAGATAATCAGACCTGTCCTTTTCAAGCTCTGTATAGAAGATAGTTCCATGCTCCTTCATGGTTCTCAGTACCTGTGTCTGAACCAGCTCTAACTCAATCGTTTCCTTTTTTGAGATGGAGTGACAAAGACTGAGCCCCACAATCCAGTTAAAAGCGTATAAAAGCATTTCTAGTCATCAGTACAGTCTCAGTGACTCTCCATCCTGTTCCTTAATGCACTGAGTAGCTACCGCTCATTAAGGGAAAGCAGCCACCTGCAAAGTTCCCATCCCCAGCACAGCTGTCTTCAAGGCAAAGGCTCCCATATCTAGTTGCATCAGAATGATATTGTCTTCTTGCAGCATAGATCTTTAGGCAGAAGCTCGACTGATCTGACTCAGAGGCATTTTAAAAGCTCTTAAAAGACTCATAAAGAGAGAGACTTTTAAAATATCTCACCAAAACAAAGAGCCAACTTTTAACGCTCTCCTATAATTGCTTCCAACTACAGTCTCGTACTCCAGAAGTCGGCAACCCACAGGCCAGTTTGGATCTGGCTTGTGGATGTGGGACTTTGGCGGCATTTTGCAGCAGGTGCTCTCTCCATGCTGGAGACAGTGGCAGGGTCCTTGCACCTGCTTTCCATCACCAACCTGAGTGGGTCATTCCACCGCACAACTGGAAAAGGTTGCCTACACCTGTCCTACTCAATGGCTAACCTTTGTTCTTCATTTGGAACTATGAAGACGGCTGCATATTAGTGTTATTCATAACTTGATACTGCCATCTTATTTATACTGAGTAACTGTTTACTCTGCGCACAGTTCCTGGTAATGGGACTAAGTTAAATTACTATATAATCTGAGAGAAGCTGCAGGATGAATAAGAATTTACAAGTTGGACTGTAGTGGCCTCAGATAATTGTTGCCCCAAATTATACATATTTATATAGTACCATTACTATGCATGGAAACTTCACTAAAAACTAAATTCCCCTTGTATACAGAGATTATAATAGACAAAATGCAGGTGGGAAGATGGGAGAATGATTGCAGTATAAAAGCAAAGTGATCTGAACACTTTTAAATTTAGCAAGCATCTTACAAGTTCTCAGACTCTTTTTTTAATAGACATTTTGTTATTATTGCAAGAAATATTTTGAAACCCTGGATGGAACTGCTATCAAATCTGATTAATACTTTTGGGTTCTCAAGCTGTTTCTTCTTGTGCTATAAATGTGGACTTTTATAGTTTCATAGTTTCTAGGGTTGGAAGGGACCTGAGTAGATCATCTAGTCTGACCCCCTGCCATGGCAGGAAAGAGTACTGGGGTCAAATGACCCCAGCAAGGAGTACATCTAATGGGCTCGCCCATGGCCCATGAGTAGTAATAGTTAAGGTAATTCTGTAAACAGAGATACTATCCGTACAAAATATCTCAGTAGTATGCCTGTTAGCACCTTTGGCCATATCCCCATGAGCAGGAATGTGCAGTTTATGGTGCC